CCCTCCCTCCCCCCTTCCTTCCCTCCCAACAGACTTAACAGCCAGACGCTGCTCTCCAAGCTGCTGGGCTAGCCATGTGCATGCTGCAGATATGCATAAAATAGAAGAAGAATCTGTTAAATTTTTCCTGCAACATCTAGATGTAAATGTATCCCATCACAGCTGCCAAAGTAAAAATTCACTTAATCTTTATATAATAATTTTAATACAAAAATAGAGAAGCTCAATAGCTAACGAAGTGAAAGCAGGTTGCCAGAAGCCCTCATGTGCCTGGTAGTTCTCAGTTAACAGATTTAGGTCAGTATATTCAGTAGAGACTGACCACAGCTGATACCTCTAGATCAGAGGTTCCCAACCCCCAGGCAACAGCCCTGGTACCAGGCCACGAAGTGTTGGCTACTAGACCAGAAGTCCAGAAGTGACTGGCATACTGCAGACTGGCAGCCGACCCTTTTTATACTCAGTATAAGAAAGGGTCAGCTGCCAGTCTGCAGTATGCCAGTCACTTCCAGTCTGCAGTATGCTGGTCTGCAGTTTGCCAGTCCATGGTCACTTCCAGTCCGTGGTTTGCTGGTCTGCAGTCTAAAAAGATTGGGAACCACTGCTCTGGATAAATACAGATTTTGAAGAGATTAAAAAAGACAGATTCTGTAATAGATTTGAAACAGGCCATCTGCAGACAGAAGAGGATGCAGAAGGGGGAGGTGTATACTGGTGCACTTACACCCCCCTTTGATTCCTGGCAGTGGCAGCAGAATTTCAGCTAAGTACAGATAGTCAAAAAGCCTAAGGCTGAATCAATTCAGTCTTTGCAGGTTAGTCTAAAATGCAAAGCTTAAACTGAAACGGAAGTGAACATATTTACCTTAATTCAGGAAATGCAGCCACATGACTGCAGTAGCTCAGGCCAGAAGCCAGGGGGTACTAGAGCATGGCTCTCTGGCACATAGCCAGCATGGGCTGCATGTTCGCTTCCTCTTCCTGCTATCCCCAAGGTCTCTGGAATTTGCAGTCCAAAACTACAGCAGCAAGACTCTGCAGGGTTGCTCATCACTTCTCCCTGCTTCCAGGTGCCTCTGGTATTTGTAGTCCACAGTTTCAACCCCTTGTCAGACAGCCTTCACTGCTCCAACTAGGGAGCAGACGGATGGGGCCAGCCCTGCTCTCTGGAGCAGACAGCACAGCCCAGCCCAGGGCTGGAAAGCATGCTGGGAAGCTGAAGGACTGTGATATAACTTGAACTAGGAAGAGGTCCGAGACAGAAGTTTCACAAACTGGTTTGACCCAACTCAGTTAAGTCTGATACTGCATTCAGCCTGGTTTATCTTAAACCAATTTCAGCCATTGTACATCTGGTTTATATGCATTAAGCCTCTGTTCTGTTACAGGTTTAAACCAGTTTCTGATCACTTAAACGGGTTTGTGTGTAACTTCTGTCCCTAGCCTTCTAGTCAGGCAGTGCTGAAGAAATCAATTAACCTCACAGCTCATTATAGTCTACCTGATCCCTTCTAAACATTTCATTCCACAGGTATTAATGACAATCTCTTCTTTTTAACTGTCTTGACCTTCCACCAATCAAGCTATCCTTTGTTCTGAAATGGTGGTGTCTATCAGGTGCTTCTGCTAATGAAGACCCTATTTCACAGCCCTGCAGATTGTTGTTTTGGTTTTTTGTTTTGTTTTTTTTTTTTACTCATTCCAATGAAATTATATTTGTTTTTGTTTCAATTTTAAACTGCATAATACAGCCCTAAACCCCTAGTACATTACTGAAGCTTCTAGTATATTTTTACCGGGAGAAAAATCTGTTGTTTTATATATGATGATGCACTGCACCATTTTCATACCTCTTTTCAAAATTATAGACCCACTCATGTCTGCCAAGTTACTGCAGATATACTTTCATACTTTCAGAACATATTTAGGGAAACTTTAATTAAGACTGGCTATTACCAAAAACAACTATTGTAACGTATTTTTCGGATAGTTATCAGTTAGTCCAACCCAAAGTCATTTAATACTGTATTGTCTTTTGAATCTGACTAGCCAAATATGCAATATGTACTTTACCTTCAAATCAAGCAGTTCCAAGAACATGATCCAAAGATAAAGTATATACTAGACCTAGTACTTTGATTTTTAGAAGGTAGAAAAAGTTTGAGATGATATATCTTTGTCTGATAATTAATAAGGCACCATCTAGTTTGGCAAACTCCATAAAAATATGGAAACTAGAGAAGCCTCCTCCAGATATGTTTACTAGGAACACAGTTTATATAAAGACATCATCACTAGTTTATAAATTAATTTCTTGGGATGGGAAGGGTAAAAACTGAATCAAAAGACCAGAAACTGAATTCTACAGTTGCATGAAAATCATCAGAGATCTAGGAAACAGGACTTATGAGGAAAGGCTGAAAGAACTGAGATTTGGAGTTTGCAGAGAAGACAGGGAGATCTGATAAGAGTCTTCAAATACCTGAAAGTAACTATCAGAAGAATGGTTACAGACCTCTGCGGCTACCTTGGTCTCAAACTGCAGCAAGGAAAATACAAGAGAAAAAGTTCTTCCTGTTTCTAACCACTGGAACAGACTACCTACAGAGGTTGTGGAATCTCCATCCTTGGAAGTTTTTAAGGGCAGGTTTAACAAACACTTGTCTAGGATGGTTTAGACAAGGTCAATCCTGCCTTGAGCAGGGGCTTGGACCATATGACCTCCTGCAATCCCTTCCGGCCCTATTTTTTTTATTCTTTGAATATGACTCCATCTCTAAATAGACCCATTTCTAAGTAGGGCACTCCCAAATGAAAATAATCTCTTTAATTTGTATTTACAAATAAATAATCTTGATCTTTATTAACATTGATCTTAAGCTGTCATTATTTCCATCTTCAAGGTTTAGTTTCTTTTAATTGTTTTATACACTGCATTTCACAAGCTATCAGCATTCTAAGATAGCGGGATGGGGGCAGGGTGGGGTGGGGTGGGCTGCCCACTGCGGGCTCGGGCTCCCACCCTGCTGCCCTTACCTGGGACCTCTGCACTCTGATGGCTGCAACCCAGCGCTTGCAGGACACGACAGGGCCACGCAGGAAAGCTGCTTGCTGCGGCAAGCTCTGCACTGCCCTGGCAACATGTCCCCTGTGCACAACCCCACACCAGCACTGTCCCTGATTGTAAAGGACTCTGGGGTCACTTTTTGAAAGTAGGCAGCTATTTCCACCTTTTAGGACTGCTTTAAATACTACTTTGAATTTTCTACATACTATTTTTTATAGTTCAACTATTATAGTTATTGGCTAACAAGTAGGTATTTAGCTATTGGCTAACACCTAGGTATTCATCCAAATATGCACGCATATTTTATAAAAAAAAACTACATCTTCATCCGAAATCTAGAACAATGATTTACTTTTAAAACTTCCTATACGTTAATGAGCGACTAAAACATGCTTACAAATATTTACTAACACCCAAAGACAATGTGTCCCCAAAAAAACAAAAAAAAACCCATCAACAACAACAACAAAAACTTTGGGGGAAAGTGAAAAAAAATCTAATTAAAAAAACTGAAAACAAAGTAATGTGATTATCATTTTTTCGTTGGGGGGGGGGGGGGGGGAAATCATACCTTCTTGTTCTACTCTTTGATCTTGATCTCTGAGACCTGTAGGATTTGCCTCTGCCTCTTGATCGACTACGACTCCGTTTTCTTCTTGATCCATATGAAGAACTACTGCTAGATCGGTGTCTGCGTCTAAAAAAATACCAACATTAGCAGCTCTCTCCTAATTCTATTTTTAAAAAAGACAGTCTAAATCTATTAGTTTTTATTACAATGGCACCTATGAAATAAGGGTCATCATAAACAAGCACAGTATCAGAAAAGAGTTTCTATCTCAAAAAACCCTCACAAGAAAGACACAGGTCACTTCATTCTGAAAATCCCTAAACAATTAAACAAGTGACTGTTACAGCCCGCAAGCTATGCTTGAGTAATATTCAGATTGCTTTTAAGCATGCGTTTTAGTTTCCTTCCATCTTGGTTCTTTGAAGAATGCTATGGTGAGTGTTTTGCAGTGTGAACTGAAGAGAGAACAAAGACAGGATTCTTCCCAACATCATTTGGGTATCTTGAGTCATCTTCAGAAAAGATTACTTCTTCTCATGTCTGTGAAGTGATAGATTATAGATAAGCTGACAGAAGACCTCCAAAGCATCATCTTTGAGACAGCCTGTCCATCCTAGAATCTTCCATAGCACCTATCACTCCTAAATCTAACTGTTGAAATAAACACAAGCTTATCCCATTGAAGACTTGGCAAATCGATACTAGAACACAGAATTAGATACAGAAGTAACATGAAGCCAATATAAGTTATAGAGCACTGGAACTATGCATTGTAAGTATGTCATCCTACTTAAAAAAAAAAAAATTAAAAAAAATAGGTTGCCTCTGGTATGAGTAGCGCTGCAGTAGTCCAGACTGAAAGAAGGAACTGGTAAATTACAATGGCCAAATCCTTCTCTGTAAGTGGGAAATGGATCCTTTTTGCTAATGGAAGATGAAGAGTAGTACTGCTGCTTTTGATTCTTAAGGGTCATATTAGATTCATTTCTGACCCTAACATGTAATTCTATCTTAACTGTCAAGGACAAATGTCCTAAACCGAGGGGAAAGCAGAAGTGCCTGCCAGAGTCTCAAAGCAAACACTTTGGTCTTTTCTGGATTCAATTTAAGTCAGCTGGTCTTCATCCAAACTCTAATCTCCCTCAAGCTCTGTTATCTGTGAGATAGCCGTGCCTGCACTGGGACAAAAGAGATTCATAAAGCTGCATGTCATCAGCATAGTGCTGGCATCGAAGCCCATTTCATCTCACTATGTCCCCTAAGGGTATTATGTAGATGCTAGGCAGGAGCAAAAAATAGAACTAGCCAACTTGCCCACCATTACTTGTGAGTGATTAAAAAGAAGAAACAAAATGAGGCTAGCCCCCCCAAAAAAATCTATAGATTACTTCCACAAGATACAGGTAGATCAGCAGCACCTTAAGTTAGGTCAAATGCAGCTGAACAAATTGTTTATTCTCATTTTGTTTTCCCCTCCCTCCATCACTAAAATATCCTCTATCAATGCACCTTTGTTCCAAGTCCATCTAAAGTCAGATTATGGGATAGTCAAAATATCTGAAGACTCTGGATGCTGCTGGAGTGATTCAATGGTACTTTTTCCTCATCAGAAAGGACAGGTGGGACAAGAAACGAAGCAAAGGTTATCAAGCATATTGGCTTAGTGTCTGTCTCCTGAGGATGCAAACTAACATATTATAAGGTTTCCTCCACACAACAACAACAAGAAAGTAAGAATGATAGTGAAAACAAGCTTGCATAGCTATCATTTTAGAAATCATTTCCATTAATATATATCTCTTTCTCCATTGCACTTTTGAATGGTTGGCTTTATTTTAGCCGCAGGTATAAACACAGTAATACATGACTGGCTGGGTGAAGTGTCTTGTGCTGTTAATGTTAGTGCATAGTCTATTAGACCTCTAAAATGGGATTGCAAATTCACAGTTAAAAATCTGACGGAACGGGAGGAAATATGTTATTTTTAATATAAATTTTATTTTTAAAGCTGCATTCACACCAGTAATGTTTTAAACAAGTTATATAGTTTTTCTGTGATCCAAGACCCAAAGATAATCTTGGTAGGAAAGCCCAAAATAAGCGTTTATCATGCAACATGTGGCAAGTACCAAGAACATGCACTGTATTCAAATATTTTTAGCCCTGCTGCATAGGTGAAGCTGCGTCATGTACAGATACATGTAACATGAACTTACCTTTTCTCATAAGAATGTGAACGGGCCTGGAGATCTCGAGACCGTGAATTCGACCTGGACTTCCTTCCCGATTTCTTACGGCTGTATGTTCTGCTGTCTGAGGAACTACTTGAAGATGAACGCCTACGGTGCTTCTTTTTTCTTCTGCTTCGATTCTCTTCTTCTGTGTCTGATGAGCGACGTCCCATTTTTACAGCTATTTAAAAAAAAATTAAAACCATTCTAAAATATAACATTGTCATGTAGAGTTTGGAAAACATTAAATGCATATGTAAATACCACTTTGTAAAAGTCAAAACACAAAGCATTGCAGGGGGGGGGCCGCTGACCTTTTATTTTAAATTCCTAGTCTGCTAATGGTTTTGTGAAACTTAGGACAACCTTAGACTTATAAATTAACACATTAAAATGAAACTTTTAAAATCTGATATTTCAACTCATATTAGCTGCTACAAACTTTGAAATAGCTCACAAGCAAGTTAATCACAGTCAAAATGTTCTGGTACAGCCACCTGCAACATCAACATTCTGTATTTTCTCCTTTTTATTCATTTTCTGTCTTACTCGGATATTAGTACTTTTACGAATCACTGGAAGGGATGGCCTTTAGACATGTGCATAGGCATTTAAAATCTGAGACCTTATAAGAAGACCAGACATTGTCAGTACTACCATATCTTTAATTACGTTTATGTTTAACTTGCAATTTTGTAATGAGAACCATAGTAATGCAACTGCATTGTCCACACAATGCTAGTCATTCAGTCATACTTTTTATTGCTCAGTATTATTGCTTGTTGACCATGTGATTAAGTTACTTGTATGTTTATGGACATATAATTAGAAGCTAAGTAACAGAAGAAGAAAAAGTTTATCTGGAACTTTTAAGCTATAAAATAAGAAGATGGAACTTCTTCTACAGTAATGCTGATTTAGATGTTCAGTTTAAAAACCACACAACTTTAAATGGTTTAATTCCAAAATCAGAGCTATAAATATTAAACTTTAGATGTGTTTCTTGATCCCCAAGGTGTTTATGTGTATAAAGTTTCAGGTTTATGGATTGTGATAACAGGGCTGTAAAAAACTGCCATTCATTTAATTGCTGGAAAGACAATCACCTTTTCTTGGTTTGAAACTCATAAGAAATCAGTTTTATTGCTGTCACTTCATGATTAAAGAAATAGTATGCCTCTTGAATTTTTCAGGCTATAAAAGTGGATAATGTTTTAAATCCCGTTTTTGTTCCAGAGGCACCACCCCCACCCACCCAAGACGTTAAGATTCCCCCTCCCTTCAACTAATGGTGCTTAATAAAGAGGCCTTCTTCCCAAGAATAAGTTTAGATATAACCAGACAACTTAAAATTGCTAAGAACACTGCAACCCACAATTCTTCACTATTATTATGACTTGTGGAGGCAGCAGTATAGACAGGGTTGAGGCATTTTTATCAGTGGTGAAGAGTTACATTTCCTGACTTTCCTAGCATAGACTAGTCTTTTGAACTCTTTCTCTGACACCAGATCTTTACCCTTCCCCATTCTTTTCTTCATATAAACAGCAGAACTTAATCACAACTAAAGGGAACTTCTCAATTATGCTCATTTAGGTGCATCCACAAAAAGGTTTAGATGCCCGAAACGGAATTAAATTTCAACCAAGTACAAGAGTAGGATGTACAAAACCCCTGAAATATCTAAAGGTCTAGGGAACTTAACTGTTAAAAATATAGGTGCCTGCAGACACATGAAGTTCTGTTTGTGCTCACTCTCAAAGCTGCCATCATCTTGGCAGGACCAAGTGTCTCAGCAGCAATCCTCAGTCAGAACTCATAAGGTTAGCATCCCTAGGCTTCTTTACACATACTCTGGGTTGGGAGAGGAGGGGTGCTTTGGAGTGACTCCTGGAAACCACTCTAATTAAAGCACCCACAGCATTTCATGTATTCAGAGCCCTGCGCTTCAAAATGCTGGCAGAGCACTTTAACTAAAACTCGTTAGATGAGCTTTGATTAAAGCACCCCGACTGCCATTTTCAAGCACAGGAATGCTGAATACACGTGATACAGAGGCTGCTGGAATGTACTAATTAGCACGCATCAGAGCAGGCATCAGGCATGCGTATAGGTGCCCCCTGGATCTAAGTATCCTGCGGCGCCCAACTAGCAAGAGTGTTCAGAACATGCCCAAACGCTAACACCAAGTTCCATATGCATTAATTCAAGAACAACAGGAGAACATGATGTCTCTCCCCTTCTTAAAATAGCCGAGTGCAGGGTTCTCAACCTTTTTAGCCCCAAGGCACTCAGACTCAAGGCATCCTTCAGAAACTGCCAGCTCTGTTCTTTCACTCCTTTTTTGACTTCAGAACTCAAAAAAATGCAAACAAGTCAGAACGCTTTTGACACAATGGAGTCCTATTTGAAATCTCTGGCCAGATCCAGACACACACGTGCAGGCATGTGCATTTCCCCAGGGACAAACAAAAGCAGCACAATATGTGCTGCGCACTCTGGTGTGCCACAAGTAGCCCCAGATGGGGTAGGGGAGGCTGAGGCCAGTACCTGGGCTGGCCCCCAACAGCCTTACATGGGTTTCTAGGGGTCTCTTGGGGCTCCAGCAGTGATGATCCATCAGTAGGGAGCCTGGCCACCAGCCAGAGCATGGCTCCGGCCAGACAGGCTCCAGTTTCAGGTAGTGCACACTGCCACCACATATGCCACCCTGCTTTTTTTGCTGAGGGTTTTTTTGGTACCAGGATTTTGTGGTGTCAGAAAAAACCCGGCACTGAAAATTTGCAGCACAAGTAATGCCTGCATGTGTGGTGTGTGTAGCACCACAGATGGGTCTGCGGTGCCACATGGACTAGAGACAGGCATTCAAAAAGCCTGAGCCTGAATTGATTCAATCTTTGCAAGTTAGTCTAACCTGCCTAGGCTGAATCAGTTTGTAACTGTACAGATATCCCCTCTGGATTGAAAAGAATACAGGCATATGCCTGCAGTGGCTTAAGCTAGAAGCCGGGGGGGCGCTAGAGCAGCCCTCCCTTCCCTTCCACAGAGCTGAGCTGAGGTGGGGTATGGCCAGGCCCCAGCAAGACACTCTGATTAGAGAGGGTGAGCGAGGGAGCCGGCAGAGATTTACACAGCATTTAGTTACACAGCAGGGAGTTGCATAGCATTTATCAGCCCATCAGCAAGACAAAAGGCTCTCTCATTAGTTCAAGCTCTTCTTAAACAACTTTTTCCAAGAAAGGAAAAGGGACATTACCAACTACCTGTTGATTAGCTCCAAAAAGCCCTAAGAAACACTGTCCTGTCTACCTTTGTCCCATCTCCCACAGCATGGACGTAGCCAGCATGTGGCACGCTAGCTAATGCTGAGAGTGTCTGTGTTAGACGGGGGGGAGAAATCCCTGCTTGAGCAGGGCAGGGAGACCAGAAGGAAGCCAGGCAGACCCTGCTGTACCTGCAGTTCCTGCCAGAGTTACAGCCAGGGAGTGTGGGGGGGGGGAGGATTTTGCTGGGCTACAGCAGAGATCAGAGCCCTACCCAGAGCTGCAAAGCATCTGGGATTCTGGGGGACTCAGGTTTATCTTAAACCAGCAAGAGGTCTGGGACAGACATTGCATAAATTGGTTTGACCCAAATCAGTTAAGTCCAATACTACATTCAACCAGGTTTATCTTCACCTTCTTGAAGTGTCGCACCCAGAACTGGCCTCAGTATCCAGGCTGCAGCCTCACCAATGCAGAGCAGAGCATTTCCCACTGCCTACCTTTGACACACAACTAGCATGCTGAGCAGCACAATTCCCACTCCTAGGCAATCAGCTCTCCCACTGCACTACATGGGGCTCTTAAACACCTAACTCAGGGCCTTGGATTCCGTTTCTATAGCCAAGTGCCTAAAATCTAGCCATTGTGATGCCAAGCATCACCATGCCCAGGTCCCTTTGTAGATCTACCTTAGTCATCTGTGGCTTCAGGTCCTCAGCACTCTGCAGGACTGTATCTTCAGCCAACACAGTCTGAGCAACAATCAAACTGGAGAACAAGGGAAAACTGAATCCAAAAAAAAAATTTTGTAGATATGTTCACCACTGTATGTGTATTGTTAACATGAAATAGTTTTGCTCATGCCATGAATGAGCGAAACCATTGTTCCACATTTTCAAAGGTTTACAACTTGACCAGATTTGGGCAGATTTTCAAGAGGATAGTTCAAGGACTTACCTGACCTAAAGGACTTTTCCTGACAAATTTAAAAGTCCCAACTCCTAAGCATGGGGATGTTAGAGAAACTCAAATGAAAGGTCACCAGAATTATTCTAAAATAAGCAAGAATGTTCTCTCCCGGCCTGTTTCTTGGGAACTACTGTACAATTTTGGCAGAAGTTTTCAAGAATGTTCAGCCTGAAGCAGCAACAAGGCCCAGAAAATTTCAGATGAAATGGTTTACGTCTGGCAGAGTTCTGTTGCTTATAAAATAGGTTTTTATAGTGGGAAAGTTATTCTAGTTCTATCAGCCTTGACAATAACATTGCAAGTAGCCAAGTAACTTCATGTACTGCATAGAAGAATTCAAACAAGACTAGTGGTAAAAAACAAAACAAAAATAATATTTCTATAACATCTATTCAACAACCAAATGTAGGCAAATTTCAGCACAATAAGAAAATACATATTGAATAACCTGGCTTCACCTCATCTCATCTTCTAAGTTTCTGGAGTTATTTTATTTAAGAGAATTACTCAATTTGAAACTAAACATACAAGCATATTTTTGTACTATATTTAACAAATTACAGGTTAAGAACAACCTTAACAATGTAATATTCCACTGCAGAAGAACTAATTTTCTGGTAAAAAATCCTCCTGTGGATTAGTTTTCAGCATACTGTCTAATTAGACATCTTTAGCTACCTCAATCAAATGGATAGCAGCTATAACATTACAACAAAGTTCACGTTACTTTGACATCAGGTCCCTATTACAAACAATGCTTGTCTACTGCTAGGAAACGTTGCTCATAACTAGTTTGCAGTGATCTCAAGTTTTGAGTAATTGCCAAGTATCTGCAGCATATGGCTCCTGATCCCTGTAAATAAGATCTTTCCAATATGATCATATTATCCAGATACTGACAGAAAAGGTGTCACATCCACTTCATTATCCCTTTTTCTTCCAGAGGCACTGGGCATGCCCTTTGGTAGGATAGAACACAGGATAACCACTTCCTGCCATAGTCATTCCTGATCAGCTCTGGATCTTGGAAAACCAGGGCAAAGCAGAAGTAATTTTCCTTTTCTGAAGGCCACTAAAGTTACTTTCACTGCATGGGAGGATTTTATTTTAAAAGAAAATCAGAAATGAACATCACAGAACTAGTCCAATAGAGAAAAATAAGAAAGGCAGCAATCTGGATTGTAGTTGCCATCCACTGACTGTCTAATGGCCTGTGTAAACATGTTCGTGGTCTCAGTCTATTTTCAAAATTACTATTACACAAAACTCTACAACACAAATACCAAGAAAGCCATTCATAAATGTCAACATCAGCAAAAAGGCCCAGGATAAGCCAGATATTCAACTACTTTCTCAACCTGAAATGTGACTCACTATAACAAGAATTCACAGGCACTGGCCATGATGCATTATTACTCTGTTACATCAGAATACTTCACTTGGAAAATGGCATCTAACTGGCATCCCTCACAAGCACTGAATTAATCTTAAATATTAAGAAATTACTTACCTTAAGTGAACATGTCAAAGGAACAATATGAATTACTACTACTACTGTTATTGCTACTTCTCCCACTGAAAGAGTTCATCTTAAAATGTTAAAGCACTTTACAAAGAAGGTTGGAATCATTACTCCCATCGTACATATGGGAAAAGTGAGGGACACAAACCTAACCAAACCTGCCCAGGGGTGTCAACCTCAAATGCATTTGTGGACCAGATCCAGACTACGTAACCTCTCATGGGCCAGACAACCCACTTCTGGGTCCAGCCTGTTGGGGCTTCTTGCTACTGCTGCAGCTGCCAGAGCTGCTCAGTGCCAGCTTCCAAGAAGTTTAATGTTGCCACCACTCAACCACTGACACCATGTGGCTACCACGTGGGATTTAAAGTTACTGCCTGCTGCTGATTTGCATGCCAAACAGCAACCAAAAACCAGAAATTTGAGTTCCCCACAAAAATTAGTCGGTACAGTGCATAGCTGTCTTACAGCACCTGCTAGGATTTATGCAGAAATATTAATAACTTTGCTACATAAAGCTAACAGAAACCACTACTAATTTCTTTCCTTTGCTATTCTGAAGAACAAAACAAAATGCCAAATGCTTTACATTGGTTTAAAGGTTACAAATCCATTTTAAAGTAATTTGAAAGAAAACCACACTGAGAGTTTAGACAGAGGTCAGCAGTGCCATAACTTCTTGGCTATGGGTTTATATGGATTAGGGCGAGCTTGGACAGATTTATATTTCTAATTATTAAAAGTTGTGTGTTTTATACTATTTGTTTAGCCAACCATTTTTAAAGCCCATCTTGAAGTTGAAGTTTGAATAAACAAATAGAAGCTCCTAAGCTTGCTGAGTTTTCTATGTCTCTCCTCTCTCCCCCAAGTTCACAAAACAGAAACAGCTAAAAGCAGAGCAAGAAAGTGCAACTTAGCTTCTGGAGTTTGCTTTGGCATCAACTGGAACAAAAAACACACAAAATCCTGCACTTACCAGGTAAACAAAACAAAAACATATTTTAAACCACTGTTTTAAAATGCAATTATTTATAATTCTATCTATATCCCAGATTACTATGTAGGAACCACATCTCACAGAAAAGAAACTTTTTCATCACTTAAGGCTAATTAGTGCTATATCTAAAAGTTTACCCCACACACACAGAGGATAATGTTTTTAGCTATTTTTTGTGCCAAAAAAGTATCTAGGCTTGTATCAGTGTGGGGCTTAATTGCTATGTAAGAAAGAGTTTTCACTGAAATGTAATCTTTATTTTACATGCTTTGCTTCAAAGGAGTGGGAAAACACACCAAGGTATTCTTCTATAATACTGGACTGAACCAAACATATTTCATTTTTATTTATCAGTTCAAACATATCTGCCCTCTTACTGACTCTATGGCTAGCGTTCCCTTATTTTTTCCAGAAAGTTATTTTTTATTAACTTGATTAGAAGTCACAGGCAAAACTATTCTTAAATGTAAATAGTGGCTCACGTGTGACAAATATAGTCTATATAAAGACTAAGTTCAGTCCTTTAGATCCAAACGTCAGCAAAGAGTTGGCAGAAGTAGAACAGAGGATGTATTACTGTGTGTACACATGTACAAGTGCATACAGGCAGGACTACATAAGGATCTTAACATATTGGGAGAAACTCACATATACCCAATACTTAAACTGGCACGTCTCTCTTACATAGGTTTTTCATTAAATCCATGTACACTTAGTTTCCAAGCTTTTACCCAGATTTTTCATCCGTAAAACCTTGGAAAATAAGCCGACGCATGCAGCCGTCTCACCTCAGGTGCTCACCTGCAGAAAGTTGCACAGATGCCCCGAAATCCCCATGGATCAAGCCAGATAAGGCTCTTTGGGTAAACCCGATATCTTTTATTAGGCCAACTCAAATAATTGGAAAATTTCTTCTTTGCTATCTTTCAAGCACAAACACGTTTGTGCCCAAAAGCTGGCTAGGAAGAATTTTTCCCCACTATAAGTTGGTCTAATAAAAAATATCAGATTTACCCAAAGAACCTCGTCTGCCCGGGGCCTGAGACCAACGCGGCTACAACCCACACCCCTGAAACACGGATCAAGACACATGCAACGGGCAGAAGTTCCCACACCAGATACCGATACACGACCCTGCCACATAACCGGGGGAGGAAAAAAAACTCTAGAGCTGCAGAAGCCAAACTCCTGACGGTGTCGCCCCCGGCGCCAGGCTCCGGCGGTTTCCAGTGACAAACCCACCGACACCTGACAGGACAGGAGGGAAGGTGTCTGCTGCACAACCTTCCCGCATTGGCTTCCCAAAGCACAGCCCCGGGGGGCCGTAGTCTGAGTCCCTGAGTGCCTGGGGAGAGCAGAGAGGCGGGGGCCGGGGCGGTGTCCTGGTTTCCGCGGGCGGTGAGGGGGAGCCCGGGGCCTGCGGAGAGCGCCGGGACCTGCCAGAGACCCACTGCGGGGAAGCGCGCGCGTGGGACCACACGCACACGCAGGTGTGAGCACGCACAGGAGCACATACCTGCCCGGGCGCGCGCGCACGCAGGCACGCACACGCACGTGCACCCGCGGGCGGGGCTGGGGGGCCCTGCACAGGCCGCTCCAGGGCCGCCGCGGCCCGGGTTTGAGCTCAGCGCCTTCCTGGTGCCGCAGCCAGGCAGAGCCAAGCCATCCCGGAGCTCATCCACCCGGCCAGGCAGAGAGCGGCGCTCAGGAGCGCCGAAGGCATCGATCGCCGCGTCTACATGTCTCTCCGCGGAGGCTGGCCCGGATCGCCCTAATTGTCATCACACAAACAAAATATTAATTAATGGATGCGCCCTGGGCCCGCGTGAGGGTTCTTTTTTTTTTTAAATCCAGCCACGAGTGGTAAAATTAATGTCCCTTCTTTAGCCAAAAATGCTGGAATAAATCACAGGGCTCTGTCTCTATAGGGTACACTATGATTAAAATTGCAATGATTTATTTGCAAATTGCTTTAAAATGCTGCGTTTCTCCTTCCCCTGGAGGTGATGGGCTGCTGGGGGTGGGTGCAAATTAGTTTCTCGGTTAAAGGCACTATTTCGGCTGGGGAGGAGGAGAGGGGACTGTTGGAAGGAGGATGGGGGGGGAAGAGAATAAAATTTATAGTTTTTCATTTAAGCCAAAAGTAATTAAAGAGGCTCAATATTTCCTGGAATTCATACTACATCGACATTTTTTTCCCCTGGCAGAAAAATCCATTTCCCCTCTTTGCTGCAAAGACAAAGCACCTGAGGTGCTGGAGGAGAGTGGCCGGTTTGCTTTGGTTCTGGGTGGGGGGTGAGAGGCAGAGGGGCTAAGTCCCAAACCTGTCTGCTTTACACGATCTGCAATTATTCGCAGGCAGCTGAGATAAAATAAAACAGTTCACTCGGTAGGTCCTACTAAAAAAGATGCTCGTGTCTCCTCCAGTTTATAAGAGGGGAAGGGGGCGGGGGGGGGGGCGTCTT